GATGCAGTTGACGTCAGCGACATTGCGTACTGTGAAAGTGCCTGGAACCTTCTTTTCATTTGTGTGCGCGCCGACGCGACAAACAGCTCCATCTGGCGCAGAGAGAAGCTGCATGTTACTGAGGCTCACTTAGGACTTGTCAACAAATCCGTGAAGAGTTTCCCTGACTCTCCCGACAAGTTCATGAGCACTCGTCGATGCCTGCAAGGACCTGAGTTTGTCGGCTTGCGTGAGTGATTGCACTCATGAATCATGTGCGGCTGCGCATTGTGGGAGCTGGTTGAGTCGTAATTAGTGCACATGGCCCGGGCACGGGATGGTCTATCAGTCTATCAGTGTCTATCACTGAACTTACTGAACTGAATTGCGCAAAGGTCGGATCTACAGATCGTCTCAGGGAGCACAGCTGAACATTGTGCTGGCATTCTCCAGAAACAGTTGAATTCGATCGGAGTGCCATCTGTTTCTGACATAGTTGCTGAACTGAACCGAGAGACACTGGGCTTATTACTTATCAAGATCATGAACAGTGTTTATGATGCTTATGTGCCGTATGTGCATTAGAATCGGAAGCTTGCCGCTGCTCCTGTGTGCACTGCAAAGCCTTGTTCTGCTGAGTGCGTTCTCATTTGTGGTCATGTTGGTGTGTGCGGAGTGTGCTATTGCCCAGGGACTCGTCACTGAGTAGCAGCCGGTCAATCATCGTGTACCTCGACACAACCGACCGCGGAACTGACCAGCTTGCGAGACGGAAGAGAACGGCTGCAGCAGTCGAATCGATCAATCAGGTCGTTTATATTCCGTCAGACTGCTACCTGCATGTCTTCCACGCTGCAGTCCGTGGAGGTTTGGAGCTCGTGGACCAGCTCATTGCAGAGACCTTCAGCAGGGACACGCTAAAAGGGTTTGATCGGTACTATTCCTCCTTAGCGAAGATCGTTAATCTCTGGAGGGAGAAGGCTTCAGACATGATGACAGCATGGCAAAACGAACACAGTCAAGCAGACAAAGACGTTCGTGATCTTGGCCGGCGATATCCGCTCTCAGTGTCCACTGGCCGCTGGGGCTCAGTGGAGGGGGCAGAAGAATTTCTGCTTGAGCGTGGCAGGAAACTCGTCGAGCCGTGTATGCTTCAGGTGTTGTCGCGAAGCATGAAGGCAGATCCAAGTCAAGGAGGTGGCGGGGCCGTTTTAGCATATACAAGTCGGTGGGTGCCAAATGAGCTGTCGTCATGAGTCGTCGTGCGGCGTGTGCTCCTTGAAAAGCTTTGTGACATTGTGATGTAGATTCTATGTCTTTTGCAGTTTGCGCTTTGCATGTGTGAGAGAAAGAGAGTCATGCGGTCTTATTACAACTGATCACGTCAAATGCAGTTTCACAGCTTCGCAGTCTCACAGTTCGTCGTTTTGCAGGTAGCCGGGAGCCGACCAGGTAGCCTTGGCTGTGGCTAGTTGTCTGAAGTTGTATCTGTTGTCTCTCAGGATAGGCGGAATATCAGACGTCTCTGTCAAACAATAAAAGTGTAGGAATCCCCGTCAGGTGGCAAGACCGACACAGGCGTGGCAGACGAAGCAGCTGCAACCGCCAAGCCTGAAGATGGCAATGAAGCAATGGGTCTGGATGACTTGAGAGAAAACGAAGCAGCGTCATACAGGATACGCCTCAGCAAATGGTGCCAGGGCTCGATGAACGCCATCACGTCATGCATATTTTGGTGCCTGCTGTATCTGTGTAGGACGCTCCGCTCTCCGTTGAGACACTTCATGCTGATAGTCCAGAAAGAAGCTCGTGGTGGAGAGTGTATGTTCAAGCTCATCACGAGCAAACTGCAACAGCTCATAAACGAGTTCCAGAATTTGTTCCGGAAACTACCGGCTATCGTCAGCCAGGCATTGCAGCTATCAGGCTGCCTTGACCCTGTCAGTGGCTTGGCAGATCGAGAAATTCAGCATATGCGGTACGTGGCTCTTCGGTTGCTCTTGATGCACTGGGCTGCATTTCGCCGGCGCATTGTTCGTCCATTGCAACAATTTCCATGGCAACTGTTCTGGCTGATTAAGGACCCTCCAAGACAGTTTTCGCAGAAACGGAAAGATGTTGCTGCGAAGCTTTTGAACATTGACCCGAATCAGCTGGACCCATCGACCCGCAAACTGCGTGTCATATGTGAGCGGGAAGTGCAGCACATGAAAGAGCATGGGGTGTTCCCAAACGTGCCATGTGCATCGGGCAGTTTCATGTTTGCATTCCTCAAGGGTCTGGCCAAAATGCAGCCAGTTGACACACAAGCAATCGAGGGCATCAACAGTGTCATCAAGTTGGTTGGGCGTCGATGTCCAAATATCTCCTTGGAACTCATGTCGGCACGGTTGGCCGTTAGACGGTCCCTCAGTGAAGACGGAAGCATGCGCAGATGCAAGAAGTGGTCCAAGATCAGACACACTGCTGAAGGTCTGTTGGCCACAGTCGCTGGGTATCACACGGCTGCGCTCGCCATCATGAACGGTGACTCACGATGGTCTGTGCCTTTACCTGTAGAGTTAGTCCATGATGATGATCGTCAAGCTGTCCTAGCCATCACTGACAAGCAGGCTGTAGCATGTGTTCGTGCCGACTGTGTGTCGCCTGGGACATCCACAGTCCCAGCACTAGTGCCTGATGACACAGCTGATGCTACTGAAGTTGGCACGGGGAGAGGTAGTAGTAGCATCGGTTGCAGGTCTGAGGGTGTGGCTGCCGCTACGGTGAATTCAGTCATGGAGACGGAGACGGCGGGCGATTCGAGTTTTTTCGAATCTCTCACATCACAGGAAGTGGTTGTCTGGGCAAAATCTTACAATTTGGGCTGGCGCCGGGCCACGAATGGCCTGCATGGCAAGGTGCCAACGAAAAAATCTAAGCTTTCTGCAGACAATGCAAACGGTGACAAGGACCGCGGCATGCTGCTGGCTGTTTTTCAGCCTGACACCATGGATGAAGTTCAGCACAGGTCCCAGAAACTGCCACATGTCTTTGCGGTTGCTGAGAAGTTTTCCGTCAGTGTCATGTTTACAAAATTGGACATCGTTCAAGAACACGGCCAGAACTACCTCACGTGGAATTACAGCGATCACAACTGCATCGAATCAACTTTGCTCATGACAACTTTTCATGGTGCGTGCTGTGGCGCAGGTGGTTCGTCATTCAATGTCGGTTGTGTCGTGCTGCGATCAGAAAGAGCTCAACTTCTCCTGCGCGGGTTGGCAATGCTTGGGTCTGGGGAGATGTTGTCATTGGAGTCAGTGCTGGCTGAATCGAGGCATTGTTTTGTCATGACTGCAGCGCCGCTGCCACGACCGACAAAGCAGAAACAACACAAACCCAAAGCAGCCAAGGCAAAAGCGAAGGCCAGCAGATCAAAAGCCAAGGCCAAGGCCACTGCCACAGCAGCATCCATCACTGAGAAACCTGGAGTGTCCAAGCGCAAACACACTGATGACGGTGCTGACGACCAAGAAGGCGACGACGACAACGACGATGCAGGTAAGCTAGAGCAATATTTGTTGGATCAGAATGTGTGCGACGAAGAAGAGTACCGGACCAGCTCAGACGAAAGCGACGAACTCGATTCAGCTGACCTTGCAGCTGCCGAGATCAAGAAAGCATGCTCTCACACAGCTTCGTCGTCTTCAGGATCTGCAGGACAAATGTTGTCGGTTCATGCGGTGCATGATCTGGCAAACGAACTGCAACAACGTGCAGAGTTGGCGCCGCCTGGTGATGTCGAAGAAGAAGCTCTGTTGCTGCTAGTGCGACGGGCAAGGTCCGAGAAAAACAAGGAACTAGGAGTAGGATGTTCCCGTCGCAAGCCACATCATGTCACGGGTCAGCCAAGCCGGTCAGTGTTGGACACTCAGCCAGGCGTGATGGATGCGTCAATAGTGGCCGAAACATCTGGCAGTGACGCTGGCAGCGAGCGTGACACAGACGACGACAACAACAGCAGCGATTTGCCAGAGGAGCTAGCAAACGTACTTGGCGTGCAGAGCATAGTGGAGATGGGTAGACCTGGACGTGTACTTGTCATGTGGGCAGTGTCTTGCCACCACATGCTAGTGGCCATGTCTGAGTTTGCAAAGTTCAAAGACATCAGTCCCGGGCACGAACGCAGCATCAGCTTAGTTTTGCTTGCTGGGCAGGACCCAATTCCTGGCTGCAAGTGCGTACGTTGCAAGTTTCAAGATACGTCTCAAGAGGTTATGTGGGTGCATTGGGTCTACAACACCAACAAGCTACTTGGTGAGATTAGGTGTCAGCTCAGCTCATTCCTAAACGTTCCGCCGTTCTGCTGATCTGCTTTGTGAGTTGGTACAGCTGCACCACCGCCCAAGCAAGCATGATGTGTAGTGCTGTTTTCTGTGCTGTGCTGTTGAGTCTGTTGATGAGATTGAACTACCCACCTAGACTCACCTAGACTGTCACCGGGACCGTCACTACAGTCACTACAGGCGTGGTTTGCAACGGCGGTCGGGACGACAGGTCATGCTGGACTCTGAAAACAAGATACTTTATTCCACGCCTGATACGAGTATATGTCGCACGGGCGTGAGTTCTGGTATGGGCTTGCCGGAACTGTGCCTGGAGCCCGATCACGCACACATTCTTCTCAGCTTTGTCGGTGCTGCCATGAGAAAACTGAAGAAGACGGATTCCAGCAGAGACACTGTTCCAGCACACTTTGTGCGTATGAAGCTATTTTGTGATGCTATGTCGACGAATGCACTATCGGGGGAACAGCGTGCTTCAGGACAAATGATGAATGTGCAGGCCCGTCGGTTGCGTTTGTTGTATGGTCATGCTTAGTGTCATGCTGCTTCTGACCGTCAGGGTTTGAGATGTGCAAACACTCTGTTGTGTGACGTGATTGTGACAGAGCATCTGGAGTACCGGCTAGTCGGTTAGCTGAGGCTGCGAGCTGTTGTGAGTCGTGTTGTGTGCATGTAGCTGCCAGCTGCCAGGACATGTCTGCATTTGCTGACTTTGATTTGGAAGCAGAGGGGTCGGACGGCGCGCGCAAATGCATTTCTTGCAAGACTAGCACAGGAAGTACGATCCGTTGTCCGTTCTGCTTACGCTGGTGGCATGACAAATGTGCGCAAGACATGTTGCGCCGCTGTGCAGAGTCGAGATTCATTGACAACTTCACTGCTGTCGAGAGGGAGTTGATCCGGTCCTTGCAATTGCACAGAGTGCCGTCTCCGAGCAATCGCGATTGGTGGAAGTTGCTGACTGATAGCGTCAGTTGTGTGTCTAGCAGTGCAGCTTCTTCGTCAGAGCAGTCGGTGACTCAGTGTGCTCGCAGTCTCACGCCTCATTGAATGCCGACGTGTGGCGTGTGCGCAATGTGTAGTAATGCATTGACTTATAGAGCAGACAGGACATGTCAGACATTGCCTAGCAGTGACGTTGTGTTCTGACACGCCTGGCCTAGCAACATTCTTCAGACTTGTTCGGCCTGCTTGATTCTGTCCGCCAGGACTACTGAGCTGACGTAGGTAGCTGTGACTGACGCCGCACATCCGACAAAATGAGAAGCTACAGCGTGTGCTGTGTTGCAGTGGATTCTTGTGGACGTGAGGTCGTTGTCGTCATCTACAGCCGGCACCTGCAGATTATGCATCGCGATGCTGACAACAACTTTGCAGTCAGAAGCCCATGTTCGTTGCGACAGTCCGTGATGTGTTGTGTCCGTAATGTACGAGTGAATCGGAAGTAGTTTTGTGTTCGTAAGGAATCCTAAGAGCAAAAGTCTTGCGACTGCGAGGTGCTAAGCAGTGGGTGGCCTGCTGCTGCAGGCCAACGCCCGGCTCCCGGACGAAGTGCAGTGAGTGCTGCATTGCATTGAATGCTTCAATATATTTCGACATGCCATGTGAGCTACGCAGCTACAAGATACGAGACTCCAAGACAGTAAGTTGTGTATGTGTGTCAGTGTGTCATGTGTGTCAGGTTCTATAAAAGGAAAGCGTGCAGTGGAGCGTGAATGCATGTCTGATGATACGATTTGCAATCATAAGCTCAGAAGCTCAGAGTCGGCAAACGTCGGCAGTAGAGTCCACAAAGCAGTAGGGCAGTGACACAGCGTTTGGTGAGAAAATGCTACATTCATGTGTGCTGTGTGCTAGTGTAGAATTGGGCATGCTAATTCAATGTAGCGCCGCTCTTGTCACGAGATTGTAGTTGCCAGCGGTTGCCATCATTCCGCGCAATGTCTGAGCCCAGTGGTCATGATGATGGTCGCAAGAGTTCTATCTTGAAATCTCTCGACTTGCATAACAAGGCACCGCCTCAGCCGAAAAGCCGCCCCAACACGAACCGGCAAAAGGGACAGCCAATGAAGCCAGCAGAGCCGGCGGACCCTCCGAAAGCGACAGGAGCACCGCCGCCACCGCCACCACCGCTACCACCGCCACACTCAACGCCACCACCGCCACCGCCACCACCCCCTCCTGCCATGTCACCCCCACCACCAGGCCCACCACCAGGCCAACCAGGCCCACCCCCGCCACGAGCACCAAGCAACACACTCCAGCCTCCTTCAGTGCCTGCAGGCCAAGCAGTGTTTCCACAGCCCAGACTGCCTACTTGTCCGCCCATGGGATCAGCTGACATTTTTGGACTCACAGGCTTGAATTCATTTCCACCAGCACACCCGGGCTTCTGCAACATGGCACAGACGCCGCCAGGCCTTGGTGTGATGTCAATGTTACCGAGACAGATGATGCAGCCTTTGCCTTTGCCTATACCTGGCCTACCTGGATCAGTATTTCCACAGGCGCCATATATGCCCACGATGACAGGCCACCTTGGGCAATCCCCTTGCCCGTGTCCAGCATGCAGTCCGCTACTCGTGCCGGCACCAAGGGCGCCGACAGCGCCGCAACCACAGCCGGAACAACGCTCAGATGCAACTCTCAACTCCGCTGCAACATCCCCGCCACCACAAAGCACAAAACAAGAGCAGCCAGAACACAAGCCGCCGCGACAGGCTCCAAAACCGAGCATGGCGCCGCATGTCTTGACTGCTCGGAACACTGAGCCAGCACACCATCAGGAAGAAGAGGAATCTTCGGACGATGTGACTCCTGAGGCGACCACTCTTACAACAAGGCACATGATATAGTAGACACAGAGATTAGAGATGACGGATGTGTGTGTTTGTCTTGCAGTTTCGTTGCAAAGTAAGCCTGCACAATCGCAGTTTGGGACGAGAGCCTCGACCTTACTCACAGATGCATGTTTCTCGATTGGATATCGGACAGGACTCTTGTCTGCGCAGCTTATTTGCTTTTGTGACTTGTTTTGAGCAAATAATGTGAGTGTGTCACGTTCTCGTGTGGATCAGCTAGCACACATGACAATCCGAGGACATACAATCTGTACGGGAGCAGATGGAGAGGCAACGTGAAATGCAAGAGCAAGCTGAGATTGCGGCGAGGCATCGCGCAGAAGCAGAACAAGCAGCATCCGCAGCAGCTGCACAATACAGGGTAGAAGTCCAAGCAGCTGCTGCGGCTGAACAGGCTGCCGCAGCAGCGCAACAACAACGTGCTCTGCTGGCGCGACAGCAGCGTGCAGACGCCGAAGCACAGGCACGTGCAGAACAAGAAAGGGCTGCAGCAGCGGAGAGACATTCCAGGGAAGTACAAAGAGCTAACGAGGAGCAGGCGGCTGCGGATGCTCGCAGAGCGCAGAAAGAACTTGAACATCTGCAAAATCTCCGAAAGACACTGGAATTGCAAGAGCAGAAGGATGCTGCGGCAATGAAAGCTCATTTGGCAGCTTCGGCGTCCCACAATGAGGACGAGCGCTGCAGGGCTAGTGTCTGGGTTCGTTGAGTGTGTTCAGCGTGTGCAGGAGAGTCGGGAGAAGAAAACTGGGACCGATGATGCGGTGCAGGTGGTTGATGGTGATGCAGCAGCCTCAGCAGCGGTGCGGCAACATTATGGCGAAAGCAATTACAATATATATAATTGTGTTTTGCGTGTGGACAAACTAAGGACACAGAATCGTCGTCATCGTCTTCTTCTTCGTCGAGCGAGGCTCAGGAGAAGCCGCCCAATGATGAGGCTGCTCAAGCGGCTGCAGCCAATGCGGGTGCTGACGCGGCTCCTGCCGCGGAGGCTATATCACTTGCATGTGTTTAGCGAGCACATTGTGTTGCTAGTGCTTATGCAGCAGGGTGCTGTGTGAGCCAGATATTCACAGGACACAAAGCCACCGAAGAAGCCCAGGAAGAATGCTGCAAAGGCCAAACCAAAACCAGACCCGAAGACAAAGGCACGTGATGTTGTGATGTTTCTGTAGCTGTAGTGTTGCAAGTTCCGCCACGTTGTGGTCTTGACCAGTATTATCTTATCTTCAGGCCGGTGGCGGAAGCAAAAAGAAGCGTGCCGACAGTGGGGAAGGCACCGAGGGAAGCAAAAAGAAGCGCGGCGACCGCAGCAAGGATGAAAACACAGAGGCAGAGGAGTGCTGAGCTAATAATAATATGAAACTCCTACATTTGTGGGCCAAACACTGCCACCGTGTGGCGAGTGCAGGACAGTACAAAGAAGAAGACACGATCTGCAACTCGTCTTAGTCAATAGTCAGTGTCACCAGTGTCATTGTCACAGTCGAGTTATTACATTAGCGAATCCAGACAACTTCAGTTGTTGCAATGCGATCTGCATAACTGAGTCCGCAAGCCGTCCATCTGGACAGACACGCAGCCGCACGCCGGCTAGAGAGTCAGCCAGCCGTCCACCTGGACGGGCGCGTAGCCGTACGCCAGCTAGATAGGCTGCACTGTTGCACCAGAAGGAAGTGGAGGATGGCGCATGGCCGACAGGACAAAGAAATAAAGAAACAGAGCCAGCGCGGAATGCATTCGTTGTGCAAGCATGTTGGCTGCGCAATGTGATGATAACAAATGCAACATGTGCAGTTGATTTGTTCATCCAGGTCAGAACGAATGCGGACCGCGCTGACCGATGCCAAGGCCTCACTCATCCAGGTGTTGGGCGTTGGGTTTTGGGTGTGTGGTTAGATTCCACCACCCCTTAGAACTCTCATCCGAAGCAACACCTCTTAGAACTCCAATCCTAACGACCCCCTCCCCTTAGGACTGTAATCCTAAGAGAACACCACCCTCTCTCTTAGAACTCCAATCCTAACCCCCTCCACGCACCCCTCAGAACCCCAATCCTGAGACACACTCCCCCCCCCCCTAGAACTCCACCCCCACACCCACCCCTCAGAACTCCAGTCCTAACACCCCCCCCCCCATCTTAGGACCCGAGTCCTAATGGACCCCCCCCCCCCCCCCCCCAGAACTCCAGTCCTGACGCCCCCACCCCTCTTAGAACTCCAGTCCTGACGACCCCCCCCCCCCCCCCCTCCATAGGTTCGAGTTCTAAGCGACCCCCCCCCCTCCCCCTGTCTTAGAACTCCAGTCCTAACGACCCCCCCCCCCCACCCCCATAGGATTCGAGTCCTAAGGCACCCTCCCCCCTTGGAACTCCAGTCCTGACACCCCCACCCCTCTTAGAACTCCAGTCCTGAGACCCCTTCCCCCCCCCCAATAGAACTCTAATCCTAAGGACCACTCTCCCCCCTAGAACTCCAGTCCTAAGGACCCCCCCCCCCCCCCCCATAGGATTGGAGTTTTGGACTTGTCCCTAGAACTCCCCCCCTTAGAACTCCAGTCCTGACACCCCCACCCCTCTTTAGAACTCCAGTCCTGAGACCCCATCCCCCTGATAGAACTCCTATTCTAAGGACCCCCCCCCCCCCCTCCCCCCCTAGAACTCCAATCCTAACGACCCCCCCCCCCCCCCCCAGGATTCGAGTCCTAAGGGAATCCCACCCCCCAGAACTCCAATCCTGAGACCCCCCCCTCCCCCACAGAATTCCAATCCTAAGGGGCACATCCCCTTAGAACTCCCGTTAGAATTACAATTGAATTGCAGTTCCAAGGTCACGCCGTCGTGATGGTGCTGTGTAGCCGCAAGCTCAACATCAATATCACGAGATCTGTTTTGTGAGTTATTTATCAGTGGAGTGTGACACGTTCTCACATTTGCCAGTGCCTGCGACGTGATGCATCAAGCGGTAGTGTTGCAGTTTGCTTTGTAGATAGTGAATAAGATAAAGCAATTGACACAGCATTGTGATGCAACTATCATGATGTATCAATGTATTTCTTATGCACTATGTTCAAGTTGACACACACAAGATTATTCATACACACAACTCATCGCATCACTTGTTGCACCAGTTGTTTCATGTGTAGCCATGGGGAAGAAGGGCAACAGTCCCGGGAAAGTCGCAAAGA